ATAAGCTCCTGCAGCTGCCGCATCCCCAATGCAACACGCAGCGGCCGCGACGGCGGCAGCATTGGCTGCTTCAAAAGAGAAGCCGCTGTTGAGAGCAGCAACCTTTGCCTTCTTCTCGGCTTCAGAACAGCCTCCGGCCGCCTTGTCCGTGCCGGGCACCGCATCGATAATGACATCGGTAGAGGCCAGAGCGGTCTGTGAGGCCTCTGCAGCAGCAGCGCCATCCGCAGCAGCGGCCAGTTTCGACCTGCCGGTGAGAATTGCCTGGGCTGCAGCCTCGCCAGCTGCCTGCACAGCGGATACCGAAGCCCCGGCAGCGGTGGCACACATCATGGCTTTAGTAGCAGCAGCCTCCGCTTCAGGAGCTGTCGCTGGAGGGCCGCGCGTAGACGGCTCAAGCACGTCAGTAGGGTTGGCTGGGAAGACAATGAGCGGCCCAAACATGCTGTCTTTGACCAAAGCAGCGGCTTCCACAGCCTTCGCGGCAGCCTCCGCCGCCTCGGCCGCCTCTTCGGGCGTCAGGCCCTTCTCCAGCGCGTCGGTGGCAGCCTCTGCAGCCGCATCGGCCGCCTCAGGCGACAGGTCATCGTCGAGCGCCTTCTCCACGGCGTCGGCGGCAGCCTCCGCCGCCTCGGCCGCCTCCTCGGGCGTCAGGCCCTTCTCCAGCGCGTTAGCGGCAGCCCTCCGCAGCCGCATCGGCCGCCTCAGGCGACAAGTCGTCGTCGAGCGCCTTCTCCACGGCGTCGGCGGCAGCCTCCGCCGCCTCGGCCGCCTCCTCGGGCGTCAGGCCCTTCTCCAGCGCGTCGGCGGCAGCCTCCGCAGCCGCATCGGCCGCCTCAGGCGACAGGTCATCGTCGAGCGCCTTCTCCACGGCGTCTGCGGCAGCCTCCGCCGCCTCGGCCGCCTCCTCGGGCGTCAGGCCCTTCTCCAGCGCGTCGGCGGCAGCCTCCGCAGCCGCATCGGCCGCCTCAGGCGACAAGTCGTCGTCGAGCGCCTTCTCCACGGCGTCTGCGGCAGCCTCCGCCGCCTCGGCCGCCTCCTCGGGCGTCAGGCCCTTCTCCAGCGCGTCGGTGGCAGCCTCTGCAGCCGCATCGGCCGCCTCAGGCGACAGGTCGTCGTCGAGCGCCTTCTCCACGGCGTCTGCGGCAGCCTCCGCCGCCTCGGCCGCCTCCTCGGGCGTCAGGCCCTTCTCCAGCGCGTCGGCGGCAGCCTCCGCAGCCGCATCGGCCGCCTCAGGCGACAAGTCGTCGTCGAGCGCCTTCTCCACGGCGTCGGCGGCAACCTCCGCCGCCTCGGCCGCCTCCTCGGGCGTCAGGCCCTTCTCCAGCGCGTCGGTGGCAGCCTCTGCAGCCGCATCGGCCGCCTCAGGCGACAGGTCATCGTCGAGCGCCTTCTCCACGGCGTCTGCGGCAGCCTCCGCCGCCTCGGCCGCCTCTTCGGGCGTCAGGCCCTTCTCCAGCGCGTCGGTGGCAGCCTCCGCAGCCGCATCGGCCGCCTCAGGCGACAGGTCGTCGTCGAGCGCCTTCTCCACGGCGTCTGCGGCAGCCTCCGCCGCCTCGGCCGCCTCCTCGGGCGTCAGGCCCTTCTCCAGCGCGTCGGTGGCAGCCTCTGCAGCCGCATCGGCCGCCTCAGGCGACAGGTCGTCGTCGAGCGCCTTCTCCACGGCGTCTGCGGCAGCCTCCGCCGCCTCGGCCGCCTCCTCGGGCGTCATGCCCTTGGCAATCGCATCGGCAGCAGCCTCCGTAGCAGCGTCTGCGACCTCTTCAGCCACGCCCTCCTTGCACACGGTAAAGCTGTCCTCTCCGAGGGGCACGGTCAGCTCCTCCTTCCATGTTGGGTTAGCCGCCTGGCACTCTGCCGTGTCGCAGGACGCCTTAGCCGAGTAGGTCGCGGTGTAGGCGTTCCCGTCGGAGACCGCCGACCAGCTCGAGTACCGGAAGTCGTAAGGCTCCACGTAGCCGTTGTCCTCCAGGAGCTTGCTGAGCTTGGCCTCGCCGTCAGCCAGGTGAGACTCGTCCTTGATCCACGCATTCATGGTCTCCTTCATCTTCGCAATGGTCACGCACTCCGGAAGCGCCTTCTCCGCGGCGTCGGCGGCAGCCTCAGCTAGGGCGGCGGCTTCTTCGGGCGTCATGCCCTTGGCAATCGCATCAGCAGCGGCCTCTCCCGCCGCGTCTGCCGCCTCAGGCGACAGGTCATCGTCGAGCGCCTTCTCCACGGCGTCGGCGGCAGCCTCCGCCGCCTCGGCCGCCTCCTCGGGCGTCAGGCCCTTCTCCAGCGCGTCGGTGGCAGCCTCCGCAGCCGCATCGGCCGCCTCAGGCGACAAGTCGTCGTCGAGCGCCTTCTCCACGGCGTCGGCGGCAGCCTCCGCCGCCTCGGCCGCCTCCTCGGGCGTCAGGCCCTTCTCCAGCGCGTCGGCGGCAGCCTCCGCAGCCGCATCGGCCGCCTCAGGCGACAGGTCATCGTCGAGCGCCTTCTCCACGGCGTCTGCGGCAGCCTCCGCCGCCTCGGCCGCCTCCTCGGGCGTCAGGCCCTTCTCCAGCGCGTCGGCGGCAGCCTCCGCAGCCGCATCGGCCGCCTCAGGCGACAAGTCGTCGTCGAGCGCCTTCTCCACGGCGTCTGCGGCAGCCTCCGCCGCCTCGGCCGCCTCCTCGGGCGTCAGGCCCTTCTCCAGCGCGTCGGTGGCAGCCTCTGCAGCCGCATCGGCCGCCTCAGGCGACAGGTCGTCGTCGAGCGCCTTCTCCACGGCGTCTGCGGCAGCCTCCGCCGCCTCGGCCGCCTCCTCGGGCGTCAGGCCCTTCTCCAGCGCGTCGGCGGCAGCCTCCGCAGCCGCATCGGCCGCCTCAGGCGACAAGTCGTCGTCGAGCGCCTTCTCCACGGCGTCGGCGGCAACCTCCGCCGCCTCGGCCGCCTCCTCGGGCGTCAGGCCCTTCTCCAGCGCGTCGGTGGCAGCCTCTGCAGCCGCATCGGCCGCCTCAGGCGACAGGTCGTCGTCGAGCGCCTTCTCCACGGCGTCTGCGGCAGCCTCCGCCGCCTCGGCCGCCTCCTCGGGCGTCAGGCCCTTCTCCAGCGCGTCAGCCGGCGGCCTCCGCAGCCGCATCGGCCGCCTCAGGCGACAGGTCATCGTCGAGCGCCTTCTCCACGGCGTCTGCGGCAGCCTCCGCCGCCTCGGCCGCCTCCTCGGGCGTCAGGCCCTTCTCCAGCGCGTCAGCGGCGGCCTCCGCAGCCGCATCGGCCGCCTCAGGCGACAGGTCGTCGTCGAGCGCCTTCTCCACGGCGTCTGCGGCAGCCTCCGCCGCCTCAGCCGCCTCCTCGGGCGTCAGGCCCTTCTCCAGCGCGTCAGCGGCGGCCTCCGCAGCCGCATCGGCCGCCTCAGGCGACAGGTCGTCGTCGAGCGCCTTCTCCATCGGCGGCAGCCTCCGCCGCCTCGGCCGCCTCCTCGGGCGTCAGGCCCTTCTCCAGCGCGTCGGTGGCAGCCTCTGCAGCCGCATCGGCCGCCTCAGGCGACAGGTCATCGTCGAGAGCCTTCTCCACGGCGTCTGCGGCAGCCTCCGCCGCCTCGGCCGCCTCCTCGGGCGTCAGGCCCTTCTCCAGCGCGTCGGCGGCAGCCTCTGCAGCCGCATTGGCCGCCTCAGGCGACAGGTCGTCGTCGAGCGCCTTCTCCACGGCGTCTGCGGCAGCCTCCGCCGCCTCGGCCGCCTCCTCGGGCGTCAGGCCCTTCTCCAGCGCGTCGGCGGCAGCCTCCGCAGCCGCATCGGCCGCCTCAGGCGACAGGTCATCGTCGAGCGCCTTCTCCACGGCGTCTGCGGCAGCCTCTGCCGCCTCGGCCGCCTCCTCGGGCGTCAGGCCCTTCTCCAGCGCGTCAGCGGCGGCCTCCGCAGCCGCATCGGCCGCCTCAGGCGACAGGTCGTCGTCGAGCGCCTTCTCCACGGCGTCGGCGGCAGCCTCCGCCGCCTCGGCCGCCTCCTCGGGCGTCAGGCCCTTCTCCAGCGCGTCGGCGGCAGCCTCTGCAGCCGCATCGGCCGCCTCAGGCGACAGGTCATCGTCGAGCGCCTTCTCCACGGCGTCTGCGGCAGCCTCCGCCGCCTCGGCCGCCTCCTCGGGCGTCAGGCCCTTCTCCAGCGCGTCAGCGGCGGCCTCCGCAGCCGCATCGGCCGCCTCAGGCGACAGGTCGTCGTCGAGCGCCTTCTCCACGGCGTCTGCGGCAGCCTCCGCCGCCTCGGCCGCCTCCTCGGGCGTCAGGCCCTTCTCCAGCGCGTCGGTGGCAGCCTCTGCAGCCGCATCGGCCGCCTCAGGCGACAGGTCATCGTCGAGCGCCTTCTCCACGGCGTCGGCGGCAGCCTCCGCCGCCTCGGCCGCCTCCTCGGGCGTCAGGCCCTTCTCCAGCGCGTCGGCGGCAGCCTCTGCAGCCGCATCGGCCGCCTCAGGCGACAGGTCGTCGTCGAGCGCCTTCTCCACGGCGTCTGCGGCAGCCTCCGCCGCCTCGGCCGCCTCCTCGGGCGTCAGGCCCTTCTCCAGCGCGTCAGCGGCGGCCTCCGCAGCCGCATCGGCCGCCTCAGGCGACAGGTCGTCGTCGAGCGCCTTCTCCACGGCGTCTGCGGCAGCCTCCGCCGCCTCGGCCGCCTCCTCGGGCGTCAGGCCCTTCTCCAGCGCGTCGGTGGCGGCCTCCGCAGCCGCATCGGCCGCCTCAGGCGACAGGTCGTCGTCGAGCGCCTTCTCCACGGCGTCTGCGGCAGCCTCCGCCGCCTCGGCCGCCTCCTCGGGCGTCAGGCCCTTCTCCAGCGCGTCAGCGGCGGCCTCCGCAGCCGCATCGGCCGCCTCAGGCGACAGGTCATCGTCGAGCGCCTTCTCCACGGCGTCTGCGGCAGCCTCCGCCGCCTCGGCCGCCTCCTCGGGCGTCAGGCCCTTCTCCAGCGCGTCAGCGGCGGCCTCCGCAGCCGCATCGGCCGCCTCAGGCGACAGGTCGTCGTCGAGCGCCTTCTCCACGGCGTCTGCGGCAGCCTCCGCCGCCTCAGCCGCCTCCTCGGGCGTCAGGCCCTTCTCCAGCGCGTCAGCGGCGGCCTCCGCAGCCGCATCGGCCGCCTCAGGCGACAGGTCGTCGTCGAGCGCCTTCTCCATCGGCGGCAGCCTCCGCCGCCTCGGCCGCCTCCTCGGGCGTCAGGCCCTTCTCCAGCGCGTCGGTGGCAGCCTCTGCAGCCGCATCGGCCGCCTCAGGCGACAGGTCATCGTCGAGAGCCTTCTCCACGGCGTCTGCGGCAGCCTCCGCCGCCTCGGCCGCCTCCTCGGGCGTCAGGCCCTTCTCCAGCGCGTCGGCGGCAGCCTCTGCAGCCGCATTGGCCGCCTCAGGCGACAGGTCGTCGTCGAGCGCCTTCTCCACGGCGTCTGCGGCAGCCTCCGCCGCCTCGGCCGCCTCCTCGGGCGTCAGGCCCTTCTCCAGCGCGTCGGCGGCAGCCTCCGCAGCCGCATCGGCCGCCTCAGGCGACAGGTCATCGTCGAGCGCCTTCTCCACGGCGTCTGCGGCAGCCTCTGCCGCCTCGGCCGCCTCCTCGGGCGTCAGGCCCTTCTCCAGCGCGTCAGCGGCGGCCTCCGCAGCCGCATCGGCCGCCTCAGGCGACAGGTCGTCGTCGAGCGCCTTCTCCACGGCGTCGGCGGCAGCCTCCGCCGCCTCGGCCGCCTCCTCGGGCGTCAGGCCCTTCTCCAGCGCGTCGGCGGCAGCCTCTGCAGCCGCATCGGCCGCCTCAGGCGACAGGTCATCGTCGAGCGCCTTCTCCACGGCGTCTGCGGCAGCCTCTGCCGCCTCGGCCGCCTCCTCGGGCGTCAGGCCCTTCTCCAGCGCGTCAGCGGCGGCCTCCGCAGCCGCATCGGCCGCCTCAGGCGACAGGTCGTCGTCGAGCGCCTTCTCCACGGCGTCTGCGGCAGCCTCCGCCGCCTCGGCCGCCTCCTCGGGCGTCAGGCCCTTCTCCAGCGCGTCGGTGGCAGCCTCCGCAGCCGCATCGGCCGCATCAGGCGACAAGTCGTCGTCGAGCGCCTTCTCCACGGCGTCGGCGGCAGCCTCCGCCGCCTCGGCCGCCTCCTCGGGCGTCAGGCCCTTGTCCAGCGCGTCGGTGGCAGCCTCTGCAGCCGCATCGGTCGGGCAGGCGACAGGTCATCGTCGAGCGCC